TCCGTCCTTGTCAAAGAACTCAGTCTGTCGGAGAGTCAGAAAATACAAAATGGCAAGTGCATTGGGGACCAGAGGAGCAGAAAGGCTGGACACATGCAGGAAGTGTGTTCCTAGAGCACATGTGAAGAGTGTCTGAAAGGAACCCACTGTCAGAGAGGAAGAGGAAGGGCACCCTGGCAGGGGAAAGGGCTCGCACATATTCAACTTCGGGGAAAGGCATGGAAATCGGGTGAGCAGCAGGTGGTGAGTGGCAGGAGAGGAAGCTGGAAGGTCATTTGGGATTTGGACACGGTGTGTTGTAATCCAGTATCTCCCAACTCTTTTGACACATTAAGATGCATATAAAAAAGAAACGATCTATTTGTATGGCAAATAGGTAATGAAGGGGCAGCTCGCATCTGAGTGACTGTTCATCCACTCTGCTCCCCTAGAGGCTGCAGGGATCAGCATCGCTGCACTGCCGGGATCAGCATTGCTGCACTCCTGCTAACGATTCTGAGGCTGAATGTTCTGTCCTAAGCACATGCCAAAGTCTGGGCTTCTTCCTCTGAGAACTCCACCAGGGGCTCTGTGTCCCAGAGAGATCATGCACTGTGGGGACAGAGCCCAGAGGGAGAGAAGCAGGGGATGTTTGACAACATTTGTGTGCTCGTATCTGGAAAGCACATTTCACAGTTATTCTTACGTCAATCTTGGATGTCTTGCAGAAAGCTCCAACGGGGTGGACGTGGTCGTAGAGGATGATGACTCCCACCATAACCCTCATGCAGAACATCAGCGTCTCCTCACTTGTAAACCTACTCCTGTACTCCCTGGAAGAGAGAACAAACGGCGCCACGTCAGTTCCTTGTCAGAGCATGTGCAATTTCGGCTCCACAACTGGCTACTTTAGACACTTCCAATCCTCTCTTGAGAACAATTCCAGACCTGTAACAACTAGTTAACATGCTCTTGAAAAAACTCATGATGATAATTCTCCTTCCTTCTATTCAATTAGCAATTCAGGGCAAAAACAGGGAAATTAAAGGGCAGTCAATTCTCTTTTCTCCGCCCTTCAGTGGGCCAGCTGGTCTTGTACATCACTCCCCCACCCATCAATCTTGAATGTTTTATAGCATGTCTCTCTGGCTGTCCAAGATTATAGAGAGTAATGGCTTCATTACAGAGAAAAAGAACCAGGCTCATTTCTACAGAGCAGCTATCATGTCTCCAGTCACAGTAACTTCCTTTGTTCAGATACAGGCTGCAGATTGAATTGGATTGACAAAGAAACCTAAAAGAAATTATGTACCATTCACTGAACCAAGAGTATTTGTGAAGTTTGAACCTTGTTCACTTACCTCGACAGGGTTCCGGATGATTCCAATAATTCAGGCCAATTCTGGAGGCTTTCTTAGTAACTATGTCATTATGAATTGGCCCCACTATGAAGATGACTACTCTTTCTGTCTTGGAATAAATCTTAGCTTTGGTATAAGTGAAATATTTGAAATTAATGCCATCAAACATTTGAACACAGCATCAGATTTTATAAGGTGCTCTTGATGCCTTTGGCCTTCCCAAACACTATGCAGAGTAGACGGCACGCGGGAACGCCATTAAACTGGAAACCGAGGCTCAGGAGGTCAGGCTGGGTGTTTACAGGCATGGAAGGGGCTGCAGACATAAGTGGAACCTAGACTTATGAGTGCAGATTTCTCCATAACCATTCTGCTTCATCCTCAGTGTGCTCAACTGTTTTTAAATATAGCAACTAGTAACTAGTTTAGGTACAAGGAAATGGGGTGGGGGGAGAGAGAGAGAGAGAGAGAGAGAGAGAGACAGACAGACCCCTATTATCACAGTCTTACCACTTCTACTCTTGGTTCTAAATCTTCTCTCAAATCTTTCTTACAATACACGTGTCATGGTACCCAGTCCTTTAGCACATCCCCCCCTTTGATCCTTGAGCATCTTCCATAATATCTTTGATTTGAGTCTTGGTTCAAATACGCTATGCAGTCTTTGAGAGGTCAGTTGACCAGTTTGGGCCTCAGTTTCTTCCAGTATAAAATGGGGATAATGACACCTGACACCTGGACTTCTTTTTGAAATTAAAGCAGATAATATACACGTCAACTTTAGTGTGCTGATCCAATGGTACACATCATCATCATCATCATCATCATCATCATGATCATCTTAACAGACCCTGGCTGGGTGAACTCTCAACCACGAATACATGTCTGATTTAACTTACGGAGTCTCCAGCATGACTTTACAGACACTTGTCATGGTACTGAGGCAGTCTGTGGTGTTCTCTATTGGCAGGGTTTTGTTCTAAACGGGAGACACAAAATGTATGTTAGCCCTGCTGGTGGCTCTTAGTGCAATGAAGGGAAAAAAGCACCTTATTGCTTAACTTCACTTACTTCGGAGACAAAGTGCATTGTGGCATTGCTAAGGGTTTTCAGCATTGGTGTGGCTTCTGCATAGAAGAGGGACATTCGATTGGCCATCTCGTTATTGACTTCGTTCTCAATGTCTAGCTGATGAAAATAAGAAGAGGAGATGCGATTATAAAGAGAAAGTCAAAATCCCCAATCACTCTCCTCTGGAAATTGAATTACAGACAAGGACTCTGTCTTCTCTCTGTGCTCTGTCTGATGCAGAAATCGAAAGAGCCATGGTGAAGGGTGCAAAGGCCAAGGAGACCCAGGGACTCACGTGCATGTTGTTGATGCGGTTGCGACTTATTGTTCTTCTGTAGTAGCTGAAGTCATTTTGAATAGCCGGGTTCCTCATCTGAAATTCAGAAGAAAGGAAAGAGGGTCGTCTCTCAGCAGCCGGTGGGAACATGATTAGAAGCCCAGACACTAGATTTTGTAAATATGGCATGACTTCTCTTTGTTACACAAAAGTCAAAGCAACTTCTGGTTAAAAATAAGGACCCACAGCTTCATTATTTTAAAATACGCTCTGTTTTTACCATAGACTAGATTTCAGGGAAAATATATTTGTTCTCAATAAGGAACAGACACTCTGTTTTCTCTGATTTCATTTGGCAGATTTTACATTTCCATATACAAATCATCATCTTAAATTACTTTCACCACATGGAATGCAAATTCTCACCACATTATATATCCCACTAGGGAAGGAGGAGCTACGTCTTACTCATTTCTCTATCCACCCACCCCACAGCACTAACGGAGTAGCTGTAAACAGTAGGTACTCAGGATAAATTTGTTGAACTTTCACAGCATATTCGGCCTAACCTTTAGCTCATCGAATCGAAGGGTGAAATGTAAAATTTCCGCAAACTCCTTTGCCAAGGCCTGCTCCCGTTCCAGGTGTTGGGTTGGTGTGTAGGGCGGGCAGGTCAGAGATTCCAATAAACTCTGAAGAGCTTTTTCTGCAAGGCAAAGGGATAAATAGATACACTGGAGGTGGCCCACAGGATCCTTCAAAAAGGATAGTTCTCAGGTCAGTTGACAATCTCAGGGATAACCTGCTTGGGTCTTTATTCTCCATGTCTTTCCCGATGACTGTGTGAGACATGCTGCAGGTGAGTGAGGAAGAGGGGAGTCCCACATGCCTGAGCAGGTTGCCTTCCTGTGAAGACCCCCGTGGCCACAGTGTTTTGTGAATGTGTCTCTCAGCTCAGCAGGACCCTCACATATTTAGTAGTGCCGATTCCTGACACTGAGAAAACCACAAATATGTAGTTCTGGATCATGTGTGTGAGACAGCCATTCATGATACAGGATAAGCTGAGAGAGCAGCCCTAAACACATGGGTTAGATTACTTGCTTTGCAGGGAAAGACTTCTTACCCTATTTTAGCTTTTCTCTGCATCTACATTCTAACCTAATCCCAGGAATAGTCTTCTGCAAACCTACTGCCATATTTATCTCTATTATTATTCTTGCAACAGTTTCAGTACCCCTACTTGTCTATTTCTAAACATCCCCTTTAAGTTTTTTCTTCAATATATTTTTCATAGCACAGAATCATTTAACCAATCTTCTATAGCAGGAGTTGGCAAAGTGTGGCCAAATCTGGCCCACCACTTGTTTTTGTAAATAAAGTTTTATTAAAACATAGACATGCTCATTCCTTTATATATTGACTCAGGCTACCTCATATATCTTTACTGTTGGGGACAGTCAATGTATCATATTGCTGGTCACACTGAGCCTGTTGTCCACCAGACTTGGCATTATTCTTACTTCTACAAAACCATCCTGTACCTGTACAGTTTTGATTTTTTTAAGCTTAAGGAAAGAATGTTTTTCTTGCATTTTACTATATTAACTTTATCACATGACTCCAGCCAACCAAGTTCTTTTTGGGTAGCAGGTAACCTCTGTCTTCTGACTTCTCTGATACTCAAAAATGTGATCAGCTTACAGTAAAACTATTAAGAGTTAGACACAGATGAGGACAAGATCAAAGGGACATCCACTACTAGAGACACTCTAAATGTGCCAATAACTTCAGGGGAAGAAACTTTGCAGTAGATGGAAAGAAATAAAAGTGACAAGAGTTGTCTGTGAATGGGCTCTCTTAGTCACAGTGGATGGATGTGGGGCATTTACTAATATGCTGAGCTCTTCCTGCTACCGTTTCAAACACCAGCACAGAACTTCAATGTGGGACATAAAAACTATAACCACATACTCACCTAGTCTTATGGAAAACTCGTAAAATCTCTTTAGCCTCACAACTAGAGGACACACTGCGTTCCAAGCTTTTTCTTGAAGTTGAATATCATTGGGATTTTGAATTGCCTACAAAAACATAGTTAGAACTGTTTGATTAAAAATAAGCAATACCCTCCACATCAAAATGCTTTTATGTTGGGAAAAATATTAATTAAAAAATACGATCCCTGCTGTGCTTTGCTAATGTGTACTATTTAAATCAACATCAGTTCACTGGACCGTTTCCCAAGATGCTCATTTAGAATGGAAATTTTAGCACTTGAACATTAGCAAATGGCTCTATGATTAGATCCTGTGTCATCTTACTTATTTCTGTTATCTCAAATACAAAAAGATGCACTTCTATATTGGAACAAACTCAGCCCTCACCATCACCATTTGATTCTTCTAAAGTAGAACTAGTGCTCATTATAAAGTGCCAATTCTGCAGATATTTTCCTTTCTCTATAATATGTATTACATTCCTGCCGGTCTGTAATGTTACCTAAATTACCTAAATTAAATGGTGACTCTTAAGGAGAAAAACCACCTTTTAATAGACTGTTACTTTCTCAGAAATGCTGTCTCATCTGGGTTTTAGCAGCTTGAGGATGATGACAGTAGTGGTGTTCTTTTCAGAAGGATGGGGGCAGTAGCAGTACGGTGTGTGTGTGTGTGTGTGTGTGTGTGTGTTTCCACAAAACTAATGCTTTCAAATAAAAGGAGTGTGAAGTTTCTTGCTTTTAAGGCACTGTGAAGTCTCAAAAATCAACCTGATGATTTTTTTTTCTTTGTTTGGGTGGTTATTTTCTTTTTCATTATTTTTGTAAATCTCAGGAGACATTTAGGATGACAGACCTGCAGTCTACTGAAAGCAAGGTGGTTTTGGCTGTCGTGTGTGACACTGGTGGAACCCGCCCAAATCATTTCAAAATGTGAGAAAGTACATGTCAACCCAGACTTCTTGATTCATATTCCAACTGTTGTTCGTATACTTCATATATGCATATTTCCCTTAAATGAAGTCATATACTGACACACTATAGTCTAAATGTGAGTCCTGTGATATCAAATTATGTCTGAGAAGAAAATGACCAATATTTGACATGATCTATAGCACTATGCGCTCAGAGTAATGCACTAGAACAAAAGGGACCACTCATACATTTTTTTTTAAGGGCACATTACCCTCCTTATTCTTCCTAGTACTCTAGGAAATACTAGGACTATTACTTAATCTTGCTGTGTGTGTGCGTGTGTGGTTTTCCCTCCTCCCAGGGTGTTGTCAGTGCAGTATTCTCATTGCCATACGTCTCGGATCTCCGGCCCTGCGCCTTTGTACGCCTGCAGGTCTGCGAGGATGCTCTCAGAATCCTGAAGGACAGCGCTGATCTGGTTCCAGATTTCTCTCTCTCCTTCTGTAGGCTGGGCATCTGCACAGCAGGGAAACCAAGAGACCCAAAGAGCTGGTGGTTACGGATAGGTTGGGAAGAGGATGCACATTCGGCTCTAAGTGCTGGACAATCTCACCTTATTCCTACAGGTTCGGTATCTACTGTTTAACCTAAGAGGCTGCCATGATGCTAGGAAGGGAAAACTAACACAACTTCTGCCCGTAACTCAGTTCAAAAGAGTCAAAGATCTTTCCACTCACATTAAAACAAGCATGTTGTAGGCACTCATTTATTTATGTAGAACACATTGTTGTGCACACCTGCTGTGTGTAAAGCAGCGTACTGGGTAATAGAAAGAATAAACATTATCTTTTGGGGTCTGCTTTTTTGTCTTTTTATTATTTTTTTAAAGATTAACATTTCTATTGTGGTAAAATATGCATAACATAAAATTTACCATCTTAACCACTTTTAAATACACAGTTCAGTGGTATTAAATATTCATAATGTTGTACAACCATCATCACCATCTATCTTCAAAGTTCTTCATCTTGTAAAACTAAAACTCTGGATTGGATCTGCTTTTAAAAAACAATTCCAACACTATATTTTATTTAACCCAATATATCAAGAATATTATAATTTCAATAAGTAACCAACATGGGTCTGATTTTAATAGGGGAAGTGACTGAATATTTGTTATGATTGAAAATCTGTGACTCTGAGTATAGATGGGAAAAACAGTTCCCCTCATTTTTCCACATAAAAATATATGCTGAAAAATTAGATAATTAACCCTTCAGAGCCATGACAGAGACATATCATTCATGAACACATGGGTGGGTAGAAAGCACTGAGATTTCTCATTGAACGTGATCTCATGCTCAAAAGTTTTCACAAAGACATGCAGGGAGTTCATTTTAAAGACACCTATTCTGTTATCTTTGGTCTTGACCATATTATCCACAAAAACAAGTGACACATTCAAGCTTAAATAAATGAAGACAGTATTCTAACAGCCACAGAGGCACCCTTAGCTCTTCAGTGAATTCTCAACTCATTACATCCCTGGAGCCAGTATGTGTTCTTATACCCAAGAGCATTCCATGGGGGCTAGTGGGTGGAGGGAGAGAGGTGGTAAAAACTGGGTTTTATTTATCTCACAGTTCCTACAGAACAGGCTAGTTGCCTGGGCTACTAAGGAAGTTCATCACTCCATCTAAAACAAAGGCTCAGGGAGATATCATCTCATTAAACTCTATTTTGAAATATCCAAATCCCAAGGCACCGAATGCTCTCAGCAGACTTTGCTAATGCGGGTGAGGAAAGAGTCTGGTCTAACACTCCCCGATCACATCCCAGTTTTGACTAATCTTTGTGAGAGTACAAAAGGTTGATCTTGCAAAAGAGTAGTCATTTGTGTGTTACTCTGGGGGTATAAAAGACAGAATGCACAAGGCCAATGATGGGGAAGAGAGGCACTGGCCGCGCTGACCGGGTGTTCAGGAAGGCTGGGATCAAAGGAGGGGCTGAGGCGGGTGGCTCAGTCACCCGGTGCTGCACCTGCACTCTCCACAGCCAGACCCTCGAGGAGGGAAGCCCATGGAGATTTCTAAATTAGTTTACTCATCGTGATGTCCCAACACCTAAGAAACTGGTAGGATTTCTTAGGAAATGAATGGTGAAATTCATCATTGTATGGTAATTCCCTTTAAAAAAAAAAAAAAAAAAGAACATCATAGGCCCTCATGGGTTATCAAGAAACTTTGCAACTTTGCAAATTCTACCTTCAAGGAACCAGACAATTTCAGCTAGGGGCTAAGGAGGCACTGAAGGGCACGTGCATCAGGATTCAGAGAAGGAGATGAGTGTGGTCTGGGGGAGTAGAGAAGTTAAACCTCAGGGATGGGACTTGAGCTGGTCGATGGAAGGCGGAAGCAAGTGTGGCATGGGAAAAGCCTTGGCAGCTGAACACAGCACGGCTGGGCCGGGAAGAGGAAAGGACCTGCTAGGCTGGAAGACAGTCTACTGGGAGACAGTAGGGAAAAAGAAACTTATTACAGATTGAGCATCCCAAATCCAAAAAATTCCAAAATATGGAAGTTTTTGAGCGCTGATATGATGCTCAAAAGAAATGACCATTGGAGCATTTCAGATTTTGGATTTTTGGATTTGAGATGCTCAATCAGTAAGAATAATATGAATATTTAAAAATCTGGAAAAATCCAAAATCCAAAACACTTCTGGTGCCAAGTATTTTGGATAAGGGATACTCACCCTGCACTCCTTGATCTTTTCATACCCATTCACTGTTTCCCTCAAACGTTTGGAGCATTTTCTCAGGTACAATATTATTCACAATAACAATCATTTTATATTTATCTTTTCCTGCCTTCCCAAATTTTTCTCTAATTGATACAGGTGCTTCAACAGAAACTTAAGAACCCACACACTTAAGACGGCTATAACTGGAGAAAGTGTTTCAGTGAAATAGAATCCCAGCGAAAGGCTGGCTGTTTCCAGGTAAGAAAAGTGTCAGGGAAGAAAATAAAAGAAAAAAAATGCAAAGCAAAGAACCTAAAAAACAAATAACCATCAAACACTCATTAACTCTTTCCCCTTTCCATGAATGTATCAAAAAATCACAAGCTAAACAAAGACAAGTCCCTAAAGAAATATTTATTTGGAGAAGAAGAAGAGCAATGCAGAGTCTGTGACCAGGATTCTGAGGGTTAAGACTGTTTGAGCAGAATTACAAAATAGCAGATGAAAGGAGAAGGCACCTGGAGGCCAGAAGAGGAAGCCTCTAATCTTGACGGTCACCTGGCTCCAGCTTAGCAAGTCACCACTTGATAAGTTTTAGACAAAACGGAATTAAAACTAAATGGACTAGAAGAGGAAATCTGGAAAAACAAACAAATTCTGCTGATGATTACTCAAACACAAAAGGAGAAAGATTTCAAGTCAGTTTTTAAGATAAAGGCTGTTTAAATGCTTCAGAAATAAGATAGTTTCTGTTAAGGTGGCCCAAAAATGGTGCTGGGGCTGGAAACAGGCAAGCTCCGCCCTCCATCCCAGGCAAAGGGACACTTTCTAGTACAAATGAATGTGGACAGTTATATGACCACAGAGAGTGGGACAGGTAACATGGGGCTGGTGGCCCTTCTCTCCCAGAACAGGCAGAGCTAGGGGGCTATGGTGGAGGGATGCCTTGCACCCCACTGCACACCTCTCCTGCCAGCCAGGGTGATCTGTGAGACAGGACCCTCAGTCCCCAGCCTCCCTCTCTGGGAACTGTTTCTTTTAGCAGATTTGTCCTATTAGAGATGTTTCTTTTGTGGTTTACTAGTGGTGGGGTGGGGTGGGAGAAACCCAATCCATCATTAGTTTTTTCATCTGGGCTTAAAAATGCATTGGCTCATTTTCTTCCGTAATTTGTTGGTCTTATTGGATGTCCAACTTCTTCCTCCTTCCCTGTCATGGAACTGAAGTCACTTCCTCTCCCAGCTATAATTAGACCCTTAGTGCTGGCAGCACGGTCCCCGCCTTCTGGGCCAGAGTGCAGTTAAGACTCTCAGGGGACTCACATCACAAGTGAAGTCAGCCTCCAAGGTGGAGAGTGACAGCTGGAAGAAACTCTAGGCTGTCCATTTGTCTGTCTCTCTTTTCAAATGGGAAAAGGGCTGTGTAACACTGGGTGACATTGAACATTGGCCCAAATCCCTATGGAAAATTCCATTATTCATTCTACTTTCACCCCCTAGCTAAATGATCAGACAGGCAGAACTCATTAATGAGAATCTTATCTGTTAGACTGTAGCACTCTGGCCATATTTGTTTCATTTGACATTATATTTCCAGGGTCTAACACAATGCCAGGCACATAGTAGGTGCTCAAGAAAAATTCCCTGAATAAATAGTTGAATGGATAATATAAATATACTTCTCACACTGTGTTTTGTGATGGTTTTTCTGCTTGTCTTTAAATTCTGAGATCTTTTGAGATAGCTGTTGGGGCACGCAATACAATAAGCACGTGATGAATCAGTGAATCAATGAGGAAACTGGCCAGGTGGTAGAGACTTACCCAAAGGAAAAGAAGACATTCTATAAAAAAGATATCTGCACTCGAATGTTTATAGCAGAACAATTCACAATTGCAAAGATGTGGAAACAACCCAAGTGCCCATCAATCCATGAGTGGATTAATAAAATGTGCTATATGTATACCATGGAGTTCTACTCAGCCACAAAAAACAATGGTGATCTAGCACCTCTTGTATTACCCTGGGTAGAGCTGAAGCCCATGCTACTAAGTGTCACAAGAATGGGAAAACAAGCAGCACATGTTTAAACTCACCACCAAATTGGTATTAACTGATCAACACTTAAGTGCACATATAGTAATAACATTCATCCGGTGTCAGGCAGGTGGGAGGGGGAGGAGGGATGGGTATATTCACACCTAATGCGTGCGGTACGCACCGTCTGGGAGATGGACACACTTGATGCTCTGACTTGGATGGGGCAAAAAGACAATACATGTAACCTGAACATTTGTACCCCCATCATATGCTGAAATAAATATAATAATAAATAAATAAATAAAAACGGTCTTATTACTTCTAGATCTTTTCCTCTGTCTCTTCCCCCCAAATGATTTTTATATGGTGACATCTCTCCCAGCTACCATTAAGACATATGTATTCACCTATAATAAAATTGGCTATTCACACCTTCACTAACATTTGTGTTTTTAAATTATCCATTATTCATCTATGCCTCAATGTCTCCTCAGTGTGGTTAACACACTAATAGGGTATTTGTTGAGTCTGGCACAGTGAAAAACTGCACTTATGTTTACTCTTTTAATCCTAAAGCTGTTACCATCTTGCCTTCTGGGAAATCCCTTTGAGAGGCTTTGGAGTCTACACTTTTGGCATTCTCCATATTCAGATCCAAGCAGTGACCATGTTTTTAAAATTTATTGTGTTTTCAGATGTCAAAGAAAGACATCTTTAACGGGACCTTGAAGAATT